GAGCAAAGCCCAAACCACACCCACTGCCGTGGAGTCCATTCTGACCCACAGCGCCCCTAGAGGACAGAGTGGAACTGCCCCACAGGGTTTCCTAGGTTGTCAGTCTTTACTGAAACAGACTGCCTCATCTTTCTTCTGCAGAGTGGCTGGTGGGTTCAAATCACGAACCTTTGGGTTAGAAGCCAAATGACTGAACCAGGACACCACCAGAGCTCCTTTAACAGACTACACTGAAGTGTAAACATAACTTTTATAGGCTCTGGGAAACCAAAATATGTCTGTGAGTCGCTTTTCTGTGACAGTCACATCACTGTGGCGGTCTGGAATGGAACCCGCAGGATCTCTGAGGTCAGCCTTCTTCCTTTGACACAGCGTCCCTTTTCTGTACCCTTTCAGATGTGTGTGTCAGGAGGAAAAAGTATACCCCTAAAGGAAAATCTGGGGCGGTTCTTGCGTTTGCTCCGTCTGAGGCACAACCACTTCAGGCACATGGTTTCATGTATTCAGCTAAAACAAATTATATACACAGACTCCAGACAGGCTATCCAAGGTGCAGCTCTAAACAGGGAAAGCCACGGTGCAGCGAGTGACACGGACCCCAGTAAAAGAAAGTGCCAGGTGGGCAACGGGCTGCTGGACTCAGGCAGGGGCCAGCGGAGAGCAGCACAGGAAACACCTTTTTCCAAAACACATACATGAACGCAGTGGGCCAGGGGTGGCATGGCTCAACTCTGGAACAGTGTCTTCGGGTCTCAGGATGGGCTGTCACCATGAAGACCTCCATCTGAGCGATGTGAACAAAGCTCACTGCCTACTTTGCCTGAGGTGTAAGGAAACTGCCCACCTGGGCGGAAGGTGACGCGACACTGCCACGCCCTGAAAGGGTGCCCACCTCGCATGCACTAGGCGGAGATACAAATACTAAGCCACGCAAGGGCTGGCCACCCAGCACCAGCGGCTACACGTGTTGCCTTACACACGGCCTTGGTTTCCTCCGCAGGCGGTAACCCCGGCTCCAGCTCACTGAGCCCGCCCCACCCCTGCAGCTGGGAAAGCCCCGCCCCCTGCTGAGGAGCCCCGCCTCCTGTGCCAGACACCAGGCGCAGCACCCCACCACCCTCCCTGCCTGCCCTGCAGCTGGTTTAAGGGTCCCGCGGTCAGGGCTACTCAACTAATACTTGAATTTTATGACGTTTAAGATATGTTTTGATGGCCTTGGAGTGTTTATGAAAGACAAAGACCCATCCAAGCACAGGGAGCTATTTCTAGAAATCTCTTTAGACAATAGCCAGCGATTAAATGCAGTCTCAAAATGTTCCAGAAAAAATTGGAAATTACATAAATGATGTTACCAGGGATGTTAACAAATTGTTATGATTTACGTAACTTACAAGGAGCCCTTGTAGTGCAGTGATTAAAAAAGTGCTCAGCTGCAAAGCAAAAGGTCAGTGGTTTGAACCCACCTGCCACTTCATAGGAGAAAGATGTGGCAGTTTGTTCTTGGAAAAATGACAACTTTGAAAACCCTCTGGGGCAGTTCCTCTCTGTCCTACAGGGTCCCTAAGGCATCAGAATTGACTGATTATGGGTTTGGTTTGGGCTTTGCTTCTATGAAGACTGACAGCCTTGGAGACCCTGTGGG